CCCTGCTTCTAGTTTTACCGTCCGATTCTTAAAATAATCTTTTTCTCGTCCCACAGGAACGTTCAGAAGGAGGACCGGGTGCCGATGCTGGAGGAGTACAGAGAGTACAAGAGAGTCAAGGCCAAACTGCGCCTCCTGGAGGTCCTCATCAGCAAACAAGATTCCTCCAAATCCATCTAGCTCCTCCGACAATAACCGCTACGATCGCACACATCGGCCGTCACCACTGCAGCACGTCCCCCCAAACACCACCACCTTCACCTCCTCATGGTTTGCTGCCGTCACGTCATGCTCAAAGACTTCAAACTGCAACTAAAAGACAAGATCCAAACACGTGATTTTAACTAACAAAGCTATTTTTCACCTAATCAGAGTTTTAAAACGTGGCGTTTCAGTGTGTTTTCATTTTTCATGACGTGACCGCAGAGTCTGAACTGTGAGCCTGTGATCCCTGCAGCAGCTCACCACGGAGGGAAACCGTCACTGTTCGTCGAGACTTCTCACTGCTGCCACGTGTGGACGTTCACTTTGTTTTTTCACAGGAAGAAAGGAAACATGTTTATGTTTGGACTTTATTTACCACATGTCTCATTGGACAGCTCAAGGACTGTTATTTTACATCATGACACTTTTTTTTATTTGGCTTTTTTCACGTAGTGTAAAGTTTTGTTTTATTTTAACAAYTTAGCGCCATCACGTTTGGTTTTAAACATGAGTGAACTGAGGTGTTGGAGACATCTTCCTGAATGGAAACCTTTATTTCTCTCATTGCTAAAGCGGACAGCACTTAAAATCAACTTTATTCTAATCCGCAAACYTTTTCCTCATCTTTGAATCTCGAAGCGTTTTTCGTCTGCGGACAACAAGTCGGATCAGTTGTGGCAGAAACTGACGAGGTCACTGATTGATTTAAATCTGCCGGCACTGATTTTTACCACAGAGAGGGGAGACGCTGTTTTAACCTGATCTGATTTCCTGACAGCAGGTGACTCATTGAAAGTCTGAAGGTTCAGCACATTCAACAAGCTTGTTTTTTGTTGTTTATTATTTTTTATTTTGCATTTCTAGGTGAAGCTGTTTTTAACCTAAACGACAGACTGTTGATGCGTCACTGTGGATGTTTTTTAAAGAAGCTGTTTGATGTTCGCGGCTGAACGAGACGAAGCAGCGGTTTATTTTGCTGCGTCGATGGTGTGACTGCGATGGTTGAAACACAAGCTACGAATGAGAAAAAAGTTTCTGAATATTTGTGGAAAGGGACGGGGGAGCTGTGTCTGCTAGTGAGGCCGTTAAGTTTGATGTAAAAAGATGTTATTTGCACAGGGTTCACAGAATGCAGCCCTTCACTTTGTTTCCCCCCCATTTGTATTTGTAGAAATTAAGCACTACTTCTATACAAATATAAATATCCTGTATATACATTAAAAAAATGAATGTCAAGACATGTTTAAATTATTTCAAACATCACGTTTGCTCCCCTTTTGGTTACATTTGTGATAACCCGAGAATGTGTTTTGTATTGTCATTATAAACGTGGCTAATTCTATTATTTCGTGTGTAAAAACATTAACAAACCTTTTGTATGGACTGACTAAAACCAGCCGTAGGTGTTTTCAGTCTCTCACCTGAACCTGCTCTGTAATATAAGCTAACCTAGAAGCAGTACTGTAGTGAGCTTGCATGGCAGCAGAGAACATAATCGTYCGTAAAGCAGAACATTTTCATTGTTTGTGCCATGAGAAGAAGCAATAAGAAAAGTTTGTGTCGACGGTTTTAACAGGTGAGTTGTTAAAATGACTCTGGTGTGATTTAAGTTACACTATATATGTTTATTTTTTAAACTCTAAATCGCTCTCCTCTCGTGTTTTTGCCACTGCATCGTTGGTGCACTGCTGAAAACCAAAATGTTACAAAACCATGAAGGCGGCAGGGATTGAAAAGCCAACGACGGACGTCTGAAAACATTCCAGTTTTTTTTTTAAGTGGAAACTGTCTGTTTGCTCGTCTCCTTACTTTTTACTCGTTTGGCGCCTCAGTTTCTGATACTGTGTGGAAACATAACGATTTAGTTTATTTTTTTTAATCTCCAGCAGAGTGGTAAACTTCKCATGTAGTTCTCATGTTGTAACCTGTAAATGTTTGTTTTTGTCTTTGRTGGTGTACACGATGCTTTAAACTTACCATCCCCGAGGAATTTCCAGCACAAGTTCTCAAAGATGTCTTCAGAGTCAGAGCTGAAACAAACAGTAACATTGAGGGGCAAAAAAAGTACTTTTAATAAAGAGTAATTAAAATTAAAATCATTTTTTTTCTTCAAACAACCTTTAAGACATCTTTGGGGGTTTTTGCTTCAGGTTCCTCGTCTGTGTTTTCTGGTCACATGTAACTTCATTTTAGTCACACCAGTATTGTGGATGCATCTATAAATGTTTTATTACTTTGAATGTGCTTTCTGTTGTTTCTTCACTATATATATAAAAAATAGGAAACTAACATTTACACAGAAAAATAAAGTTTCCAAGCTTGCCACATGAATTTTCTTGCTTGTTGAGT